ATTTCCTCATCTTCTTCATTTTCATTAGCCATAAGACACATGTCCTCGTAGGATGAGTTGTTGGAGATACTCATGTAAAACATTGCATTGTCATCTTTTGAGGTGTCACTTTCATCACTTGAAGACTCCTCTAGTCCTCTGACTCACTTGTCTCAAGTGGGTCACTAATAAGTGTTTTTCTTCTCTCCTTTGTGAACCTTTTATCTTTGGTCTTGAATTCTTCCTGTTGAGGGTTAGAAGTTGATGGTTGCTCGGTTATGAGTGCGTTGTTCTTTTCTTCATGATCTTCCTCGATCCTTGATTTCATCTCAAACTCATAAGCCTTTAGATCACTAAAAAGCTTATCAGTTGATAGGGTTTTTAGATCTCTATGATCTCTCATGGCCGTGACCTTCATGTCCCATGTAAATGGTAGACCACGTAGAATTTTGAGTGAGATTTCCTTTTGATTAATGTCTTTTCCAAGATCATTAATTTCTCCTAGGATTTTAGCAAATCTTGTTTCCATATCAGTAATATTCTAGCCGTTTAGCATTTTGAAATCCTCGAATTTCTTTAATGCTATGGTGAGCTTATTATCATTTTCTTGCTCATCTCCTTCACCAATTTGAATGAGCGTTTCCCAAACTTCTTTTGTGGATTGGCATTTTCAAACTTTTGGAAATATCGTGTCATCGATAGATTTAAACAAAATATCCTTAGCAATATTGTCCAAGTTATTTCTTGTTCTATCTTCACGAGACCATTCCACCTTTGGTTTTGGAATGTATTGCTGAGTGTCGCTCGTTTGTACGGATGAAGTGTTGACTTGCAAAATTTCAATAGGACCACTAGTGATTACTTCCCACATTTCATCATGTAATGCGGATAAGTGTACCTGCATGCGAATTTTCCAATCATCAAATTTTTTTAAGGAGAATAATAAATTTTGGGCAAGAGCCATATCTCTTTTCATCATCTTGATTTTTGGAGATCTGTCTAGCAGTCAAAATTGACTCAAATAGACAACCGCTCTGATACCAATTGTTGGTCCCAATAGGGTGGTAAAAGTCTAGAGGGTGAATAGACTTTTAAACTTTTTCACAATAAATAACTCTTTGGTAACTTCAACTCTAAGTAACAAGTAAATAGAGTAGTATTGAACTTGAACTGCACAACGGAATATATAAGTGTAAAGAGTTATGCCCAATCAATAATTTGAATCACATGCACGTGTAGGATAAGCTCAGATGATGTGTAAGGATGACATGAATATCTTGAATATTTAAAGGAGATGGTGCACTCAATATTTAATAATGATATTCAAGATTGTAAATAAGACTTCCTGTCATGTCAACCGTATGATGAATGTTACATGCAACATGTCAAACTTGCTTAGAATAAATCAAATGTTAAGCATGGAAAGTTTGAGTTACATGCATACGTGAGAACACACTAAACCCGAAAGATTAAGATTAACAGTGAATAGTAAACGTGTTAGTCGGATAAGATAGATAGATAGAGCGAATTATGTAAGTGCGGTATGTAAATGATAGAGGCAATTTATAGTGGTTCGGAAGTGGCGTATTCTTCCTAGTCCACTTTATTCCATTCACTTCTAGGAGTAATTCATTATTTTCCACACACAGTTACAATACTGAATAAGCGCTACACAAGCACTTCTTCCGGATGTCTTGCACACAGCTACACCCAACTCCGAGTGTTTCGCACACAGCTACACTCAACTCCGAGTATTTCGCACACAGCTATACTCAACGCCAACTAAGTGTTTTGCACACAGCAACACTTAGCAACAACGAGTGTTTTGCACACAGCTACACTCACTAGAGTATTTTGCACACAACTATACTCTTTTTACAATTAAAAATACAAAGGCGTAATTGTATCTCTCTCCAAATGATTTTGAGACTATTCAGACTAAGTCTCTCTTCTAGATATCTCAATGAATATTTAGCACTTCCACTTTTTCACCCGCGTGTTCTCTTGTATTTTTTTTTTTGTATTCACCTCTATTTGTTTTTCAAGTCTTCATGGCCTTTTTATAGATGATCAAATATATCCGTTGGAGTGAGATATTTTGATATTTGAAGTTTGAATCTTGTAGCCTGATATTGTTGACAATGTTAGGTCTTCAATTTTGATTTGATTGTCAACTTGCCTGACAAGATAATATTTTTATTTCAACTTGATTTTCAAGTTGTTTCTAAAATATTATTTTCCTTGTCTATTTTGAAGTTCCAACGTCTCTTTGCAATAAGTTCTTCTGATAGAATTTATTTCTAGGATAAGATTTTTTATCCATGCCTTCATAAATTTTCCACCGTTCTGATCATATCTTCAGGCAATTTGGATTCTTGTGACATGTGAGATGTACCAACATAAAATTCTTTCGAATTTATCTATTTTCTGATCATATTGCTTCTTTGAGACGCACTGTGCTCTAAAAATCCGATCTTGCTTTGTTTGACTTGGCACTTCTTGCTTCTTTGACTTGCTACATCGTGCTTTTCTGATTTGGCCACATTGTGCTCCTTTTCGCATCTTGCTTCTTTGACTTTAACACATTGTGCTTGTTTGACTTGAGGGATTGTGGTGATTCTTTCTGAATTCCGGCTTATAAAAAATAAGTCCTTGGGGGAGAATCAATCTCAAGTGTGATCATTATATGTAAGGAGTTCTACCATTTCGCCGTTAGGCTCATCCAATCATTCTTTGTAACCCCATTGTTTAGTACTTCTGTTCCAGATGAATACTTATAGGACCAAAATTAATTCTCTAAATTAATTTTGTTCTTCATGTGGTAGACTTTCCTTTGCATACTCATTTTGATATTCTGATATATGATGCTTGTACTAAAGACCTAAATTCTAAGGGGATCTAAAGTACATTTGGCTCATCAAAACTTTATTACAAAAATATTCCTATCACGTCCAACTACCAATATCCGTAGAGTTGTCCCTACACGGAAACAAGCACTCTTCTATCAACAAAACTAACAATTTCTTCTCTCCAGTCAATGTGGGTCTCTCGGGGTGATATTCTTTATGGAACTCTTCTGTACTCCCGGTCATGTATCTCAAATACGCTTGATGTGTCAACCTCGCGTTGGCAACCCAATCCTCCCGGTCATACTTATCCAATCCATCCAACGGTAGGTCAAACCAATTTGACAATTTTTGTGGTGTCAATTCTACTTTCGTGCCTCTCACATTAGAGACAATCGAAGTCACTCCCTTCTTATGTTTTATGGACAAATTCTCGTAAAATTCAATCACTAAATCGAGATAAATTTCCACTTGGATTCTCAAAAATTTCCTCAATAAACCTCGATTCTCCAATATACTATTAAAATCTTCAGAAAAGAATTCTGGGAAATAGGTTTTACCTCCTATTACTGAGTAGGTAGGTGCTTTCTGACTGGTTCCCTCTACTTGTTGTTTTCCCTTCACCATTGTGGTTCAAACTTGTTGTCTTGATCTTGTTAAAATTGCAGTGGATGACCCAACTAGTATTTTTCTTGCACTTAGTATGGCCTAGGACAGACACTCTTGAAGTTTCCTTGAAGAAAGATGTTGATTTGGAGGAGATATGTTTTTGGTTGAGGTTGAGGCAGTGTGCAGCTAAGAAGAGAAGAAGAAGAAGATGTGAATTTGGTCTCTCTGCTTTGGAAAAACAACTCAAGGGTTTAAGGTGGTGGGGCTTGGCTGTAATACCCCATAATTTCTGAGCACTATACGAGGACTGTATGTGCATACAGAGTTAGTTTTATTAAATTCTCCTATCCTTCTTACCTAATTTTATTTTATTTCTTGGGCTCTAAGTACGTTATCATCCCAAATCCATATTATTATTTCTCCGCCAATACTTTTCCTTATCTTTTATATATATATATATATATATATATATATATATATATATATATATATATATATATATATAAACTACACGTTTTTCCTTATTATCACCATAATTACGTTCCTAATACTACTCTTAATCATTCCTAATTATAATAATAATTATTATTATTATTTTAGTCATAATAATAATTATTATCTTAATTATCATTAGCATTCTAATCCGTTACTAATACGCCATGCTATTCCTAATCATCTCCTTATATCTCTCCTTATATCTATATCTACACACGGCGAATGGGGTAAAGGGAAAATAAACCTAGTGAACTACCTCTCTCTTCTTCTCTCTGTCTCCGCAAAAATACTCCGGACGACACCATTTTCCAGCCCAAACTTTCCTGCAGGTAACAATTAATTCCAGCCGTGGTAGCTTTGAATTCTTGGGTGAATCGCAACAAATTTCTGGGCAGGATTTCCTAAGCGGCAGCGTGTATATGATGCTTGTTTCGGCAGAATGGTGGAAATTGATGAAAATTGATGAGATAAAGATAGATTGTTGATGGACGGATGAAGATGATGATGTTTGGTTCCTTATCGAGGAGGTTAGAAGTAATGAAGTGTTGTTAGAAATTTTGAGCTTCAAGGGTAAGATTTCATGTTCATCAAAATTACTTTTCCTGAAAATATATATGTTGAGTGAATGTGAATATGATGAATATGATATCTATGACTATATATACTAAAGCTATTTGTTCTAAAAATCTATTTATGCGAATTATGTGTTGTATGGTATAAGTTATAATGTTCATGTGATCACAAGTGCATTATAATAATGTGTGGGGTGATTCTCGAGCTATCGAGAATGGGCTTCGACGTGTCGAGCCCTGAAAACTTGGCTTGGTAAATTTTTGGTGTGATGTATGGTTAAAATTGTACTACCACTGGATTATGTACTATAATTATATTTTGGACAAATCATGTGGAGAAAATGTATTTTGAAGGAAATTGTATATTTTGAGAAAAAATGTATTATAGAGAAATTGTATATTTTGGAGAGAAGTATATCTTGTAAAAATGAAGAATTTATTTTTGGAGAAAAGTATTTATCTTGTGGAGAAATAATGAAATTTTGAGAAAATAATGTACAGTGTGGTGTTCAGTAAATGTGAGTACTGTTCACTTGGACTAATTACTACTCCTTGGGCTTGGAATCCCATGAGGGTGTATCACTTATGTTATGATCCAGTTTCCAAATTGTTTGAGTGGTAGTAGGTAGGAAAACCTGACTACATGGATCATATACTACCTAGTGGCTTGGAATTTCCTAAGGGTGTACACATAGGTTTTAGTTCAGATTCTAAGTGAATTTCGACGAGGTTTGTTAATTCTCCACTTATAATTATTATTAATTCTCGATACAAAGAAAAGTACAACTCCACATGTATTTTGGAAAAGTATATAAGTATATGAATTTTTGAAAATATAAAATCTAAGCCTATATTTTACGGAGTGAAGTGAATCTTACTTAGCTTATGCTAATTTTTGTCTACACCATATTTTGTTGCAAATTATTTTTACAGGTGAACATGGATAACAGGATTCAAGATGAATTCAAGTTGAGCAGGAATTAAATAGACTCATTGGAGATTTGATATTTTGAGAGTAAATGATTGTAATGTTATTTGTAGTTGATGTAATAAGTTGAATTTGGATATTATTTGATGTTGGAAAGATTAGCCTTAGCACTTAGGTTGTGGTTACCTAAGTGTGGCGGTAACACCCATTTTCTTTTGGTTAGTTAATGCTTCCGCTATGATTTTAGTAAATTGTAAATTAAGAAAAAAATTAAGGAAATTTTGGATATGAAAATTGGGGTGTTACAAGTTGGTATCAGAGCGATACGAACCTTTGGGATATAAGAAACCTATGTTGTGAATTTTGGATAAGAACTTAGTTTATTTAATTTGTGGAATATATATAGGAGATTAAGGTGACTACTTGGAATATAGGGATTGGAGTTCCAAAGTGGTATGAACCTTTAGTAAACCTTCAAGCGATCCGCGCCAAAGCCCGGTGTCAGGCGAAGCTGACGGCCTCAGGTCACGGACCATTACGTGGTCCGTGACCACGTTCCGTCACATGGAACGGGTCCCGTTCCGGCCCGTGGCCTAGACCCGCTACTGGGTCGGGTAACCGGGTCGGATACGGTTCAGCTCCAAATTGAAATCGGTCCTCCGACTTTGTCAAATCTTCAAATCTGGTCAAAATTGGATGTAATCCTTGACTTAAAAAAAATTCCCGATTCTTAGTCAATCCTTTGACTTTCAAATTCCTCCCGGGAATTTCTTATCCCAATTCAAACTTATATTAAATTCTTATCCAAATCTTTTCTCGTCGTTTCTTTCTTTTCCCGTTTTTACTTTTACTTCGGTAAACAACTCTCTTAACTAAACTTTAATCGTTCCTTAACGATTTTATCCCTACTTACACTTATTTCCATTCTTCAAATCTCTTGTTTGTTAACTCCTAACATTCAAGTCTAAGCTTTTCTCTAAGATAATTCTCAATTACCTTCTAAGTTCCCAAAATTTTAAACTAGCACATCTTCCCACAACTTGCAACAACTTGTAAAAAATTTCCTAAAGCATACACATCCAATTAAGCATTCATGCAAGAATCAACACACTCATTCCAAGATAGTGTGTTACCTTTCTCGAGATTGCGGCCTCCAGCATGAGTCTGTCCCATGACCATGATTCTCCCTGGTCCAGCTCCTCCGATACGTCCTTGTTGCGCTCTACCTCGTCCTTGATTCCCATTTCTGTGCAGACCTCCTCTCGGTGGATAACCACGTCCCATAGCTTGATTCGGCGCCTGGTTGATTGGACCTCTGGGTGGCTGGCTCGGGATCGTACCATGGGATCCCTCCGTCCTCGGGGAACGATAAATAACGACTCTATTGTAACACCCCGTGTTACGACCCCTAAAACCAATTAATCATTTAACCAATTATTTAAAGAAAGAATTAAATTACAATAATTAATCAGGAAAAGGCCCACCATAGTCTGTGTGCCCTCATCTCTAAACCCAACCCCTAGTCCTAAAAGGAATAGAGTTAGCAAGCCTATAGTATTTGGGCCCTAATTAGGACTCTTAGATATATAAATAGGGGACATAGAAGACACCTAGAACCCACACCACAATAATCTCTCACCACACAAGGAGCTCCAAGAATTCCCCTAGGAGAAATCAAGAAAGAAGGAAGACTTAGAGAAAGACCCTTCATAGCCAAGGAAATTAATTAAGGCTAAGAGGTAACCCATGTCTCAACAAAACCTATTTTCTTAGCTATGATCTCTCAATCTTAGGCATCCTCCTATATTCTTGTGTCTTGATGAATTGTTATGATATTGATGATGTGATCTTGATAATTGGTGATATGGTTTTATCTTGATAATCTTGATGATGATAAGGGTTTCTTGATGATTGTGTAATGTTCTTGATGAATCTTGATATTAAAAGAAGGGTTACGTTCTTGATGATTTAATTGTGATTAGAGCCCTAGGATGTAACGTGAAACTCGTATGGTCTTAATGTATTGGGTGGGAATTCGCATGTTTGGGTGATAATTATGTTTAGAAAACATGGTAGGATAGGTGCCGCATGTTTCTCACTTTTGATCCGTTAATTGTCTACGTGTTGTCATCAATTGAGTTTAAAGGTGTCTAAGCATGGTTTCGGGTTCCACAAAGGTTCCCGGGACGTTATTTGTGAAAAAGAGTCAGTGGGGGGTAGGTGGGGGTAGGGGACCCGCCACCTACCCGCGGCCAGGTTTAACGTCGCCGGCAGTGGGCAGCCGGCGGGTGACCTTCACCCACCGGCTACCCGCTGGAAATTGTCCCACTTCGGGATCCCGGCTTTCCCGTTTGATGTTCCCCCGACCCCCGTGGTGTCCCAACGGACCCCGTCCATCGTGCATATGTCTAGTTTGATGTTCGGGTACCATTCGTAGGTTGAATAAGTCTTATATATTGCATGCTAGTTGGATTGGTATCCCGTTGGCCTAGGTGTAAGAAGTATGAACCCCTTAGGAGTATTCTTAGTATGTGGATGATCACGCATAGGTTTTGTTATACGATTTCTCCCCCTTCCCAATGTGTCAATGTGGGTTGCATGTGTTTGCTATGTGTTATGTGTGCATGAAACCCCAATTTGGTTGCGATCAAATTGGTTATTCCTGAGCTGCGGTTCAGAAGCTGGCTGCGGTAAGATTTACACTCTCGGGCTGCGGTCCACCGTTTGGTTGCGATCAAACGTTTTACATGAGCTACGGTTCATATTCCTGGCTGCGGTCAGATAACTACTCTTGGGCTGCGGTCCACTGTTTGGTTGCGATCAAACATTATGATGAGCTGCAGTTCATCGGTCGGTTGCGATCGACCCCTCCGTGTTGCGATACGGGGCAGGGTGTTGCGGGGCCGTGTCAGAGCTATATGCGCTGACCCTCATGTATGGGCATGCGATTGGTCATGTGGCGCCATCAAAGTGTGCTATGTGATGAGATATGGATGGTTTGACGTTATGAATATTATAAAAGCGTGACCATAGGATACATGCTAGTAAACTGTATATGCTTGGTTATGACTATTGGCTGTGCTTATCTCTATCTGTCGAGTCTGTTCCCTATGCTTGTGAATTGTGTGACTGTTGACTGTGCTTATCCCTATCTGTCGAGTCTCTGCCCTGTTTTATAAAGCTAGAGTCTCTTAGGATATATCTTCATGCTTCGAAATGGTTTTTCTTATATCTATGTATATATCTATATGTACTGTATTTCAACGCGTTGGAGTGGGTTACCAGCATCTCTCGCTGAACAGATATATTTGGCTTTCAGGCACAGAGGAGTAGACACTGGAGCGCGCTAGAGTCTTGGAGCGTAGAAGTAGATAGTTTCCCTTTCGGCCTGCGTGCCATGCTTATGCATTTACATTATTGAGGACATTAGTTAGTTAGCCTGTGCACCTGAGTTCTCTAGCTCAGGTGTGACATAGCACCCCGTACTCTTTATGTTATGTTTGGGATTTAATGAGAATTTACCTTTATTATATAAGTCTTAAAAGTTGAAAAATTTCGGGGTGTTACAGTTGGTATCAGAGCCTAAGTTTGACCCTAGGATAAGACTCTTAAAACTAGACTTTAAGACAATAGGTTTGAACTCTAAGTATTTAGGAACATAGGACTCAGGAACCTTAGGACACGCGGTGAGACTGTGAAACCTACACATAACCCTCCCTCACTTATTTAAAGAAAACTCCCCCTCCGCTTATCGCATCAAAGTAAGAATGCAAAATAACATCAACCCATGAACACCAGGATGGCGCCAAAAAGGAAACAGGTAGGAACACCGAAACTCCCCACCCAGGAATTCTTGACTCAAAATCTGCAACGCCTGGCCCAAATTGCCCAGGCACTAAGTACTACCGTTCCCCAGCCATCACCAGCGAACGAGAACTTGGAAATCCACCACCAAGTCTCGACACACCAACCACCCATCTTCTCGGGGAACGAAGACCCCACGACCCTCGAGAAATGGATCGGGACTTTTGACAAGATATTCAGGACAACCAGATGCCCGAAAAACCACCAAGTAAGAATAGCCTCCTTCTACTTCAGACACGAGGCCGACACCTGGTGGGCTCACGAAAGACCCACATACGAACAAAGCCCCGAATTCAACTGGGAAACCCTAAAAACACGACTACGAGAACAATTCTACCCCAATCATCTAAAAGCCACCATATACGAAGGGTTCCTCCACCTAAAACAAGTGGCAGCCCCGATCACGGAATACTACCAGTGATTCCGCAGACTGGCTCGCCTCACCCCCGAGCTGGTGCCCATCGAGATGATCAAGGTCAAGAAATTCATAACAGGCCTTGATCCCGAACACCAGAAAGCCCTGGCCACACAAGAACCGAGAACCCTCGGGGAAGCCTATACCAAGGCATTCCAACTACAACAAGTATCAAACCGACCCCGGGAGACACACCTGGGATACAAAAGGAAACCAGAGGGGAGTCACACAATTCCCACCCGAGGGCCTAAAAACCCCAGGACCGTCTCACCCCACAAGGTCGCAACGCCAACCATTCAAGGAAGAATCCTTACCCTAAGCAAAGCCAGGATCGGAGACAACAACATAGTCTCCGGAACCTTCCTAGTACAC